TGATGCTAATTTAATGACTATTAAGAAAAAGGCATATTACCAAGAAAAATAAAGTTGAAATCTCTCTTAGTTGCAGTGTACTGTAGAAAAATTTACTGGATAAAATTTATACCCACCACAGTGGCCGGAAATGGTTACATTAAGCCATCCAAGAAAAATTACAGAAAAAATAACAGTCAAAGCGCCAGAAATGAAATGGCTTCACAACAGCTACAAACAGTATGTTTGTTCTTGTGGCAACAACACATTGCTGGTATTTCAGCTTCTTAAGAAGTCACCTCAACCGACCTCTTCTAACTCAAACATGGAGGGGGAATTTACCAGAGATGACTAGAAATAACTACAGTTTATATTAAAAGACAGTAATAGTGACTTTGTATCACAATATTTGCACTATGGTTATCTGAAAACAAGTATCTGAAAAAGTTATATACTCTAGGTAACACACATACCTTTTTCTTTTTTTGTTCTAGTATCTGCTAAACAGGCTTTTGCACTCCCCAGTGCTACCAGCCATCTTTGCCTTTCAGCTGCATTAACTGCTTTCATATAGAAATGCTGCTCCCCTGGGATGATTAGCTCCATTCTCGTGTTGTCTGTTGCATGAACTTGTGATAGAAGAGAAAAAAAAAAATTTTTTTTTGAAAAAAAAAAATAACCTCAACTCAATAAAATTATCTATTAAATACTTACCAAAGTATTTTAAAATGTTTATGACAATCCCACAGTATACACTACATCACAATGCATCACTGCCAACTATGAAAAAGCCCAGAGCTGCTCAACCTTTCTGCCCAGCACATCGTCCAGTCAAGAGACTTGACACTGAGCAGTGGCCAGACTCCAGTAGGAGGGGTTTCCCTTTCTACATTAATAATATACTGTGTATGAGTCTGAAATAACTGCTGTATTCCAAACCTGGCCTAAATGTGGCAAACTGAAGAGCTCTGTCACAGTGACAGGCATTAACAGGAGATTAGATAAAAACTGAAATAATCTCTCTTCCAGATGAAATCTAGAGCCAAGAACTGAGGTAAACTTTGTTTCCAATCTATTATATTCAGTACTACATTTTTAACTGAATACTCTACCAGGTTTCATTTTATTGACCACAGTTCCTTCAGATCTAGTCCCCACTAGCCATGGATGCAGAAGACTCTCCCAAATTCAGACTTCAGCTATTATCTTTCCTTCACCAAAGGAACAAGATGACAAGCAAAATGAACTCAAATGGCCAAAAAAAAAATTATCTTCCCCACTTTACATCACTGATTTCATCTACACCAAGGAAACACTAACAAAAAGGAGTTATCACATGAAAAATACTTGGTGGCCCATGTAAAACAAGTTCCATCTTTTAATATATAAGTACCCACATCACAAGCCCAGTTATCTGCAGGGATCTGAAAAGAGGTCAAGAGTTAACAGCAGTGGAGAGTTAGACAATGTCTTGCTATTAGCCAAGGAGGTTGACCTAAGCTTAGACTACACAACAACCTAAACTCACAGTTTGGCACAAACAGTTCATGTACTAACTCAAATACTGCCATCACCTGTGCCCATGGGCAGCTGCTAACAGTGACAAAAGTAAAAATGACTCAGGAAAACAAAGGACAAAACATCTCTGGTTTATGACCTTTTGGGTCACTGCTGCTTCTCTTCTGGAAAACCAGCATCCATGATTCAGTCCCTATCCCTGGTCATAAGAGGGAAAAGCAGTAGAACTAAACAACTAGCCGATGTAACTTCAGGTATGAGCCACATGTACACAACTGTTTAAAACAAAAAAAATATATGGTGGGTTCTAAATCTCAAAACAGAGCTCTATTCACATTCATTATTATTTGTGAACTATGAAGCAGTCACACTGAACTACAGATAAACAAAAAAGAGGAAGAAAAACTTGCAAAAATGTATGTTTCCCTGGCAGCTAAAATTTCCTCAAGCAGAACTATTCATTCTTACCTTTTATTTCACACACAGCCATCTTTATACTTCCTTTGCTGCCTTTGCAAACATCATCCTGGGAATCATAGTATGACAATATCCCATTGTCTAAAACAAACCACCGAGGCTGCCAACCTAGCAAGATCAAAAACATGAAAAGGAAAGTTTAGTCTAATTACTAAATTGTAAATCAAATTCATCTCTTTGGCTGTTAAAACTTTTATTAAAGAGGCAAACATTAAATTATCCTTGTAACACACCAGGAAGTAGACAACCTGTGCAGTCTGAAGACCAGAGCTGCTCTATAACCAGACTAGTGTTATATGGATATTTCACTCCCATTCTTTTTGGATGCAAGATCACCAGAATTTGTTTTCACTATATTCCATTTTAAAGAAAAATTAAATTTTAATTTAGCCACCAAGAAATCCTGTTTTGAAGACTGATGAATTACACACCTCTGAAAAACTATTCTCATTCAAGTATATTTTTCAGGCAGACTTTCTTAAGATTGTAGGAACTTCTTTGTAAGAGACAAATAAATGACTGACGTCACCAACTCCTATGCTATGGTCTCTTCTGATTACTGTATTTCAGTGAAAACTTTGTATGTCATACTTAAGTATTAACACACCATTTTCTCTCAAAGCAGTCCAGTTCCATTGACCAACAACAATCATATGTCGGGCACTGTGTGTAGAACTCATGGGTTATTCTCCTAGATCCATTTATGAGGACAGTATACACCAGCTCCTCTACTAATGTTTTCACCAGCTTTGCATTAGTAAAATTATATAACAATCTCTGACTTCACTACATCTACAAAACAGAAATTTATGCATAGACACAAATATCTTTGAGCAGTCTATGCAGCATTACGCCACACAGTAAATTACTGTCATGGGCCTTCTTGGATTAAAGTATATTAGCATTCCTTTTTTTATTTTCTTTCTCTTTTTTTTTTCTATTTCATAAAACTCAATACTCACTGGAATAGATGCCCTAATTTCTAATACAACTAAATGCAAACCATTTTGCCTAGTAAATCACCTTTGTTTCTAAAAATAACATTGCACTACCATATTCCAGTAGAGCATAATCATTATACTGGCCCATTGCAGTCTGGGGCAGCTGTACAACAGGAGCAGATTATCCCTCTATTTTACAGCTCCACACCAAAATTTAACTTCCTACTCAGCTTGGGGTTTGGAATGGCAATAACTGTGTGGCCAAGAACTCAATGCATTTGATGATATGACAGTGTGGTCCATGGTGCTTCCCAATTGCCATCCCAACAGAGCAAGCTGCAGCCATCCAGCAACAGTGTACTTCAAACACAGGAGGCTTACTCAGGTAACAAATTCTTGAAATCAGCTAAAGGTTTCATATTATTCACATTCTTACGATGCTATCATCATAGAATCATTTAAGGTTGGAAGAGCCCCAAGATCAAGTCCAACCTTTGACTTCATCAACTAGACCATGGCACTAAGTGCCATGTCCACTTGTTTCTTGGACACGTCCAGGGATGGTGACTCCACCACCTCCCTGGTGAGCCCATTCCAGTGCCTGACAACCCTTTCAGTGAAGAAATTCCTCCTTTCAGGGAATTGCAGAGAGTGACAGGGTCACCCCTAAGCCTCTTCTCCAGGCTTAGCCTCCCCCAGCTTGTCCTCATGACTTACTCTCTAGACCCTTCCCCAGCTCCATTGCCCTTCTCTGGACATGCTGCAGCACAGGTGTCATTACGAGTTGTAACATTAATTGAAAAAGTGCAAGACCAGGCCCCACTACATCACATCACCACTTTGTGATAAAGAAATAATAACATGTAATTGTTTTGTTTTTTTTATTTACTAGCTATAACAGTAAGCATACAACTCTTTTTAAATGCAGAGTGGTAACTAAAAAGCAGATCCACAAGAACCAGAGGGCAAAGAAGATACTGCCAAGGCACAATTAAGAACGGGATGTGATCGAGTGCTGATCAGCTCTGGAAAGACCCCTCCAGAGTCCTCTCACAGTATCAGAGGAGAAACCTGTTTCACCCTGACAGCACCAGCTGTCCACTGCCTGCTCCAGAGGGAGATGGTGTCTCTATCACAGCAGAGGACCAGCCAAACAAAACCAGAGCTTTGCTGGCAAATGCTGGCATTTGGTGCACTTTTTGTCTGCAGCGCTTCTAAAAAATGCATTTTGTGAAGCTAAAGTTTATCATATGTTTTACAGGTTGGGATACAGGAGATCCCTACAGCCTGTCCCGCCGAGAGCAACCCAAGTCGTGAGAGAGACTCGGCCAGGCCGTTCCCAGAGGAAGGCCGAAGCCCGGGCACCCCTTGCCCGTGGGGGGCCGGGGCCGCGCCGGTGCCCGCAGGGAGGGCCCGGCCCGGCCGCACCGCGGGGAGCGCTGGCACCGCCGTCAGGCGCGGCCCCCGGCCCAGGCACGGACCCGGCTCCAGCCGCCTCAGGGCCGCCCGCCGGGGCTCCGAGCACAAACGGCAGGCGATGTCTCAGCCAGCGCGTTACCAACAGCTCCGGCCGCCCGCGGGACCCCCCGAGGCAGCGGCGGCGGCGCGTCGCGGGCAAGGCCGAGCCCTCCCGGCGCCGCGGGCCCCTCACTCACACCCCAACCCCAACCCCAACTGCCGTCCCCCGGCCCGGCCCCCCGCCTACCGGCCAGGTAGTTGGTCCACTTGTACAGGACCCCCTCCATCGCTCAGAGCCCGGCGCCGGGCCGCATCCTCCTGCTCCGCCGCAGGGAACGGGCGGCCGCGGCCGCCGCGGGGATGGCGCTCCCCTGCCGGCCCCGCCGCTGCCTCCCCCGCGCGGAGGCGGAGCCGCTCAGCTCAGGCGCGGCGGCCGCGGCGGCCCCAGCGGCGCCGCCCGCCCCGCGGGGCGCTCTGCATCCCCCCTGCCCGCCCAGCCCCGCCGCCCCTGCGGGCGCTTCCGACGTCCCTTTCACTTCCTGCGCGGAAGGGGGCGGCCCGAAGAACCGCCCGCCCCGCGGCTGCTGCTGGGGCCGGGCTTGTCCCCGCGGCCGGGCCGGCCGAGGCAGAGCGGCGGCGCACGCTCGGCCCCCGCCCCTCGGCGCGGCGGGGACAGTGCCACGCCGGCGGCCTCCTCGGAGCGACATGGGCCGCGGGCTGACCCTGCTGCTGCTGCTGCTGCCGCTGCTGGCGGCCCCGGCGCGGGCCGAGGGCGGCACGGCGGTGGCGGAGCAGGTTCAGATAGAGGTGCTGCACCTTCCCGAGACCTGCAGCCCGAAAAGCAAGAAAGGCGATCTGCTGAACGCGCACTATGACGGATTCCTGGCGAGCGACGGATCCAAGTTTTATTGCAGGTGGGCCCCCGTGGCACCGGGCCAGGGGCGGGGCGGTGGGCCCTGCCCGGCGGTGTACGAGGCCCAGCCGGTTCCCAGCAAGGAGCTGCGGGGTCCCACTTGCCCTCAGCCGGGTAAGAGGGACCCACTGCTCCCCCAGCGTGGGCACAGCTTGGGTCTCACACTGACCACATCAGCATTAGTGATTCCCCCCCACCCCGCTTTGTTTTTTCTCATCCGAGTGTTCATGGATGCAGGGTTTCCCTAGGATCGTGAGGGACAGGCGCGGAGACAAGATGGAAATCCCAGCGATGGGGCCCGATAGGAGGGACGCAGAGAGTCTGCGGTCCACACCCCACATGAGAGAACCCCTTTGACAGGGTGAAAAAAACACCACCATGTTACCACCTGCCGTGTTCTGTGCTGCAGTCTGTGCAGAAAAACCTGGGTTGGGAGGAGGAGCTCCTGGTAGAGACTGACAATTTTAGACAGAAACTCGAATACAGCATGCACTTCCTCATAGTTGGCACTGTACAGGGCAGCCACATTATTACACTACTGGTTTGCAGCCTGTCACTGCTTCCCTTCTTGATTTGTTGTGTCGTCCATTTTTCCCCAATGTTAGCACTTAGGTTTTTGCTTTTTCACTTTGCCCTATCCATCTATCTTCAGGTTGTTTCTATTTGATTTAGCTTGCTTTGCACAGAAACTGTTGTGAAAAAGCTCTACTTTTACAGTGCCTTGTTTTCAATGGCAGTCCATCCTACTAGTGGGGAAGGACTCTCCTGTGCAGAAGTATGGAGGGGAGAGTATAAGATAATTCTACATTTAATAGTACCATTTCACTTGCATTTTTTTGCCTGTTGAAGTGACTGATTTTGGTACATACAGTGTTGATCTCTGGCTTTTAAGCTGCATTCTTCTTAGCTGCTGTTCAATGTAGCTCCCATACTGGGCATAGCTTATATGACCAGAAGCTGTCTCAAGCATTGAAGAGAGTGGTGGGTGAGCACACAGATTCCCAGATCCCCCAACACACACCTGCACTGTCAGTCCCACCCCATCCTACCGTGATGTGAACTGCTGAAGACATTTTCACTGGTCCCAGCACTCCTCTTCTTGGAGACTTCCTACAGCAGCACCTTGTTCCTGGCACACAGTGTACATGATCAGGAAGTTCAGATGTTTTTGTTAGAAGTTAAAGGGGTTTTTTTATTCCAAAAGAAGGTTTGCCCTACACATATCAAATTTAACCTTAAATTAATTATAAATGTAGCAGAAGAAGTGTTAATACTTCGTATTCTTGCACTCTAAACATTTTTGTGTGCTGATGATCTATGTTTTTACTGACTGCAATTTATATTTATGTAAAAAAATACTAAATTTACTGTTACTGATGCATGATTCTTTTTAATAGTCGGACACACAATGAAGGTCATCCAAAATGGTTCGTTCTGGGTGTCGGACAAGTCATAAAAGGGTTAGATATTGCTATGATGAATATGTGTCCTGGAGAAAAACGGAAAGTGACAATTCCTCCATCATTAGCATATGGACAGCAAGGATACGGTAAAAAAGAAGTTTTAACACTAAACTTTGTCTTTTCTCTGTTTTACCCTTTCAAATATACAGTATTGTAAATGTGTGTAAGAATTGGTGCTCCCGTTATTTTTGGAGGCACTGCAGCTGTGCAGCCCAATCCTGCTCATTCCTGTGCAGTTTAAGTCCTTGTCATAGACCCACACCTAGGCCTTGCAGTTTGCATTAGAACTCAGTACACAGCACCCAATGCATTTTTCCAAGTATTGCCACAATGTGAAAAATTGACATCAAAAGGAAGATCTTTATAATCCATATCAGCATTTTTTGTCTTAATGTGTTAAATTCTAGTCGTGTTTAATTTCTGTTTACTTATACCTGCTTAGCTTTTTATGATAATTTGTATCTTCTGACTAAAATGGAATGTAATGCAGTGCAGTTAATCTAAGTAGAAATAATTTGCTTAAAATACTGCTTACCTTCTGGATAGTTAATGGATATCATCATCACATTACACAGTAATTGCAACAGTGCAATGCATGAAATCCGATTTGAATAGAAGATAATTCAGTGTGCAGATCACTTTAAAAAAAGTTCCAGTCTCAGCTTATGGAGTGTTTCAGCACTCAAATGTAGCTAAATTCAGCTTTGACATAGATGTAGTAGTTTCTGTGAAAAAGTAGCTCCTGATCAATAATAAGTTTGGTAGTGATATGTCAGAATTCAATGCACCAGTTTTGTCTTTCATACAATTTCATACAAAAAGAAGAACACACTGACACAAATAAAAGATGTTCTTTACCTCTAATAATAGTGTTAACTATTTGTTCCAGGTAGCACTTCAAGAAAGTATTATTTTCCTGCAGCATACCTGTCCTCTGTCTCAGCATATTCCTGCATGCTGGGGAAGATGCCTGCCTAATCTTGAATTAGAAAAGATGCATGTGGCTTTCTAAATCTTTACATATCTTTCCTTTGTTGGTATGTATATTTGGAAACTTCTGGCATTGAATTCTAGTATTGTATCTGCCTTTCGTAAGTAGCATTTAAACCATGATCTATGTTCATATGTATTTAAAACTTCTTTTCTAAAGCTTGGAAAGTTGAAATATTTTGGACTCAGAAACTTGTCGTTTTTACTGTGGCTATTTTAGATGAGTAGTGTGAGTAATAGTTTTGTTTACCTTCTGTTTATAAACAAAGCAGATTCTTCAGTTTCTAAAGGATGGGCACAAGCTCAAAATTCTGTCCAAATTCCGAGGTTAAAATGTCATGCTCACTGGCTTTGGCTATGAATAGAAGCATCTTGCATGTTTACATTTTAATTTTACACTGCATGATTTCTTAATGCTCTTTTGGCACTACTTTTAGACCTCACTAGTTTGTTGCTGTCTCTTTTTAGTTTCCTTTTTCTGACAGATGCATGATACATTGACATGTGTTTATAGGCAGTGCTGTTTTTACAGCAGGTGTCTGAAAAAGCTTTAATCCATGAATAATGAAGTTTAACAGGGTTTCTTTTTTTAATTCAGAGACCAGACAAAATATTCCAGTAGTTTGGGGGTTTTGTGGGGGTTTTTTGTGAATCAGATGACTTACATTCTATTGCTTCTTTCTGAGATGTACATTTTAAACACTATTTTACATCAAATTCTTTCATCATAGGTATAATTCATAGCAAGTGGGTAAAATATGATGTTACCAGTTTGTTTCTTCAGACAGAAAATACATATGAGCATTGGTCTATTACTGTAATATTTGAAATCAGATGGCAAATATTTAATAAAGACATACATCTTAGAATCAGTCTCTTAATAAGCCCTGTCATATGACAGGATGTGAAAGGATAAGAACTCTGGAAACATTTGTTTTTCATGATAACCCTTCTCTTAATCTCTAAAAGTATCTGAATTGATATGAGTTATATAATTTTGTTTCAGGGAAGTACATGGTTAGCAAGTTTCTCGCAAAATCATTTCTCTAACACAATAGAATAATCTTCCTGTCTAGATGTACATAAATTTAAAGTTTAACCTGAATATTAACACAGCCTTTTCTAATAAAAAAATAAAATGTTTACATGTGAATTTATCATACGTGTGATCTCCGACCATAGTGCCTGATTTCTTAAATCCTTTTTTTTCTTTTGTTCATAGCACAGAGCAAGATTCCACCCAATGCAACACTGATCTTTGAGATTGAACTTTATGCAGTAAATAAGGGACCTCGTAGTGTTGAAGCATTTAATCAAATAGACAAGGACGGTGACAAGAAACTCTCTGAACTTGAGGTAATATGATGTAAATAACTTGAAATAAATAATTTATAAAAGTATAGGTATGGTTTCGTGAGTTTTATCTTTACATGAGCTGCCTCTGCTGCAGTTGATCATATAAGGCTTCTGTGTGCTTACACAAGCTACACTGTGCAATGCTGAAATTTGCTTTAATACATTAATATGTCTCAGACTTCTGTAGATGAACTGTAGATGTGTCTGCACTGGAGTCACAGTAACTTAGGTGTATAGCCCAAGTGTCCTTAAAGATAGCTGTTGAGTCCTGGCATAAAAATCACAGTTGGAGTTTTTTCTTTTTTTTCTAGATAAGCCAGTATTTGAAAGAAGAATTTGCAAGAGATGGCAAAAAACGTCATGCCTCAGCCCACGATGAAATCTTAGCTGACATATTTAAGAAGAACGACCATGATGGAGATGGCTTCATATCAGCAAAGGAGTACAATGTCTACCAGCATGATGAACTCTAAGTACTTAAAAAATCTTTGGCTGTTTTCTGGACACTCAATTCTAAATAATAATACTTTGTCACAGAATTTTTGGGGTTTTTTTGTAGTGGAATCTTTTTATATCTCTTAAGGTGACTGTAAAAATTTTTAACATTCAACTAATAAAATTGTTACATAAAATCGGAAAATTATTATTAGTGGTTCTTGCATCATGTTCTGATCTACAGTATTGCTCAGTAGTCTTTCTCATTGTGTAAAATACTGATGAAAATAATTATTCCTGTCCTCTTGAGCACACAAAAATGGATCAAGTAACTGTTGACATAACTGATGAACACTTTTCAATCTCCTGTTAAATAAAAGGGGAAAACAGAAGCCCAGGAATGTAACTCTGTTAGACCCCTGCAGGCTCCTAGCCAGCTTCTCAAGGAACAGCCATTTGCAGCAATTAACTATAAAAGGCCTTAAAATAAATGAATACTGTCTATGGAATGTGAAGATAAAAACACAGATGTTTTTAAAGCAATTTAAAATAACCTCTTTGATATAATTTTAACATGAATAATTTGGTGTTGATGAAAAAGCAGTATTTTTAGTGAGTTTTTAAACTTTGATTTAGTAAAATTATTGTTATTGTGTTTATTCAGCAGCACCAAGTTAAAAATCTACACTCTCATAATTTCCTTAGATGAGACTGAAGATGATGGGAGATACTACATATGAACATAAGTAATTATCTGAGCATCATTCTGGTTTCCCTGCTTCTGTAAAAATTCAAAGAAGTAGCAATAGTTTATAGAAAGTATTTGGATCTCATTAACTGTTTTGCTTATGCAGATGTCACCACAACACTTGGGTAGCATGTTTTGCTCTTCTCACGTGAAAAGCAATGGCTGTATTCATTTCAGCATGTAATAATCAGTTGTACACAGTGAAAGTGGCAGCACCACTGAAAAATCTTTCATACCTGGGTTATCCTTAAAATTACTTTAAAAGGTAGAAAAATGTTTTTTGCTTTGCCAGTTTAAAATAGCATAGTGAGAGGGTCAACAGCACCCTACCCAACAGCATGCCCAGTCCCAGACTGGACAAAACTGTGGTGCCCTCCTCACGTGTTCCTGTTCTCAACAGGCTTAATTTTCTGTGGTTGAAAATGCCAGCTAAAGACCTTCACCCCTGAGGTCTTGTTGGAGTGTGTAGTTCTGTTATTTTCATAAGTTTCCAAAATATTTTCAGCTAAGCAATTTTTTTCTGAACATGTAAAAGTCATAAAATCCAAATGCAGAAGGTGGACTGGCTGGTACTTTTTTTGTGATCTAAACAAACTTGACAATACAGCAAAGGCATCCTAATATGAAACTCCTATCTGTAGTTTCTGTTGTTCCCTTTTGTTAATGGAACATGGGGCTGAGCTAAGTTTTAGCATGCTTTTTAATCTGATACTTCAATTAATCATTCATGAGAACACTAAATTATTAACAAATATTCTAATTTAGCCATCATGTGCCAGTGTAGAGAAAGGCAACATTTTGGGGGTTTAACAACAAGTTTATGTAAACCAACTTTTAGCATATATTCTGACATTACGAAAATACAGTTTAAAAGTAAATTTTCCATTATCATGAGAAGGCTCTAGAAAGAAAAAAAAACAATGTCAGGGAATGCATGAGGGTGTTTTAAAGTAAAAGGTCATTGACTGAAGCAAAGAATTTGAAGAGTGTAATAAAATGTTTTGCACTTTCACTATTTTGCATTTTACCATTTGAGTCATATTTACTAACTCTGAAAAGTTTGTGGCACAGTTATGCCTCTGTCAGTGACAACAGGCACTTTCCTAGCTCGGTTACTTTAGTCTCTTATGCCAGAGGTCAAAACAGGGCACAGCATGCAGTCGTACGTACTTCTGTCCATTAAAAGAACACTCTAGGCATCCATAGACTGTCTCCCTTTTAGAACTTCCCATTCCACAGAGGACACAAGGACCTTTGGGGATGTTGTTATTAAGTAAATTAATTCGGATATGAGAACCTTCTCTGAGATAGCTTGTAGAGAGATCAGTCATGCTCGCAGCTTTATCATAATAATCTGTAAAAAGGTCCTCCAAGTAAGGATCAGAGTTAGCAATGATTTCCACTACTCCTTTATCTGCAAAAGAATGCACAAGAAAAAGAAGCAACGATTTGTCATTACATTATGAAATGTCATTTAAAAAACAATGTTAGCTTAATTATAGAAATAACAACTGATTCACAAAACCATTCTAGGCATGCCATATAGATTACTTCCCATCAAAAACCCTGTGTGTTGAAAATTTTTCTTTAACTTCACATAAGACACTCACAAAAGCCAGAATTTTTTTATATAACCTATATAATTATATTTTTAGAAATACACCTAAAAGATAGGCATGACTCAAGCTTCTGAGAAATTGGTGCAAAGTCAAATCACAGCTGTGTACTTCCCTGCTTTTATTTTTTGCATTTCTAGCTTTATATTCTAAACATAGTAAATTCACTTTTCTTTCCTATTATTTACAAAAAAAATCCCACCAATACTTAACAGGTTTAGAAAACTTGGAAGACTCCCTGTTGACCTCCTAGCAGATTTCTAAGCACCCAAATATGCCGGGGAGTTCCATTTTGGAACTACCTACCTTTTCCCTCTCTCTTCAGCGATTGACTAGTTTAGATTGAATGACAAACAGTAGCTACAGCTACTGAGGTGTGTCATACCCACTGAAGCTTTTTCCCTTAGTCTCAACTGGAGCAGCACTGAAGGCTTGGTCCATAGAAGTCCTTTGATTGAGAATGGGATACAATGGAGCGAGGACACCTATACAGACCAGCCTTTAGACAGACTTGTTTACTGCTCAGCATTTATCTTCACATTCAGATTTGCAGCTTTCCAAAGTACTTGGACCAAGGACTATTACACGTATAAGATCTTGGTCTGAAGAAATATAGCTGCATACAGTGATACTCAGTTTTGTTGGATGTTGTTCATATCAGAATGAGTAAAGAGAACTATGATGGTATCTTGCCCATGTGCCTGCCGTGTGAACATACAGCCTAAGAAGTACATTCAAATATTTAAATTAATATTGTTTGGTATTTAAACTTAAAGCATTTGCCCTCAAATATTACTACAGATTATAACTTGTATTACATAACACGAGCTGTAAATGTCAAACAAGGAAATAGGTTTGACGTTAACTGAAGTTGTATAGTTATTCCATACCAGTTTATCAACAGCCATAATTTTTACTTTAGGATCTTTACAGTTTTAATGAACAGCAATACCATAGATTTGTTATTTCTGAACGAGCCAGATTCTCAAACATAAATTTTAATAACTTCACAATCATTTTGATACACTAGAAATTGAGAGGTACATTTCCCATCAAAATTTCTTTCTTTAAACATTTATCTTGTACAGAAATTAAAGAAACAAAAACACACTTTTCATGCATTAAGACATTATATATTTATATATGAAATCATACTTCGATGAAATAGATTGTTCTTTAATCTCCTTAGTTTGGTCAGTGAAGATGGTCCAGATTTCTCTTTTTCAAATCCTCCTTTTGCAATTGGAGTCACACAGAGTTCTGTAAAAATGAAAAATATATTTTTAAAAGAACAAAATACAAACTCCAGAGTTGCACTACAGAATTTAATATGCTTTCTCATCAATAAAGCTAACAGTGATTAAATTCAGCTTTGCTAATATTTTTAATGGCTAGTACAACTTTTTAATACGAGTCTGCACTCTGTAATAACCCATAGAATCAAGTGACACTGTTTCAATAGGAATTTTTAAATGTTAGTGGCTTTCAAGTAACATCATCAGAGCTTGCTTTGGTTCACACACAAATTCTAGCCATGTTAAGGGACTAAGTCAGTATCATATAAATGGAAGCCCTAATTCTAAAGGAGAAGCATTTCTGTGGTCTTATTTGAAACCAAAAATGAAAAATAATAAGCAAGGCTGTGAGTTCTGTAGTCACCTCTTCCAATCAACTACTAAAACCTTTTGGTAAAAAAAAATAAGTATCACCTATGATTCTATCCATAACTTGAATGAAAACCTTTAAACTGAAATAAAAGCTATGCAAATTTTTTTGTTAGTTTCCAATAACCATGATTATTTCCTCCTAAAGATCTTCAGATATCCATATGTGGTAATGATGTATCAGACTGAAATTAAAGGCCCAACAGAAAAAAATGTTAGCTTAGTTTAGAAGTTTTGTACACTTTTTTTTTTACTTGGATCTTTTTACTTGCCTACTTTATACAAAACTGACCAGATAGTCTCATAAGCCTGTTCCTTCAAGGCTAGAAATATAAATAGGTAATTTTTTTAGGCAATACAACTGCAGGATTAAAAAGAAATACAAAATCATACGAACTGTTCAAAAATGTTTCCACAGCAGACTGTTTTCTAGCACCTGCCTTGTTTATCTTTCCAAGCACTGTTTCTCTTAGAAGGTCAGAATACTTATGCACATAACATTAAAGCATACCATTGTAGGGGATCAAGGCCTATGTATATCAAGAGTAGTAAAACTATCTTAAAATCTTAAATAATTATAAGTAATAGTAGTAATGACAGTAATTCACATCACTTACCAAAATTACCATCCAAATGAATATAGAGTTCAAATACACTAAAAGCAATAGTTGTATGCGCAGGAAAAACAATGGCTTTGTCCCGCCCTTTACAATTCTGATCTTCAATAATGTGAAACTATAATTTAGAAAAGCATCAAAAGAAAAAAAGTTACAATTTGTAATGAAAAAATAAACAAAATAGCATCTCAAACTGCATATATTGAGAATTATAATGCCAGAAGGAAACTTTGAAACTGAAGATTAAATTTCACAGCTAAAGAGTTTTCTATTAACATATTTGTATTTTAATAAAGTTTGATACAGAGATAGTAACTTAACTTGCATCACTCATTGAAAATTATGTGAATGATTTATAAATACTAGTAATAGGCAAAGTCATAAGATTTGTAGGTTCAGTTATTCAAACACATAGAGGGGGAGAGAGAGGAAGGACATAAGACAGGGAGTAAGATGCTGACCCTCAAAATAATAACAACCTGAAGTTCCAATGTGTTATAGAACATATTATAATAATGAAAGATAGGTTACACATTTATTAGAAAGTCAAACTAATAAGATGTA